GGCCGTTGTCTCATTATTGATCGCAGCAAAGTGAGGAGATATGGATATTACAGTGCCGAAGGCCACAAAGGTACCAGAGGTGATTCATGGGAGCCGCTTCCTCATAACTCAGGCTCTGGACAAACAGTTCAGTCCCGACTGCGTTGGCATTTGAAGGAATAAAGTTCTTGACTTTAAAGCAGGGTGAGAGAGGGATCTGCTTTGTGTTTTTAAGCTCCCGCAGCAATCTTTTTAGGTTAAAGGTTCTATCCAAAAACACAAACACTATCTCTTATCCTTTAGCCTTTCCCTCCACAGTTAAATCCATTGTTTTTACTTCTTTGGGGAGAAACTTCTGCTGATCTTTAAAAACCTTTGCTACTGCTGCTAAAGTTGTAAGCGATAAGATAAGAAATAAAGGGTTGTGCAGAGATGACCCCTTTTCATATTTTTTTGACCGTGCCCTTTCTGGCGTCGATCCCTCGAAAAGCCTCCAGGTTTTTTTTCTTACTATGGCTGTCACTCGCAGACAGCCAATTAACATATTGTCTGAGGAAGCCCTTCTCCCCAATGGTCCTCCCTCTGTTTTTGTCACTCGGCCGGCTACTGGGTAGTCACACAAATTAGTGGTGTGGGCTGCAAGGCTCAATTACCTTTTAAAACGTTTGGAGGTGGTGTGCGTTTGTGTCAGCCTGTTTCAGAGCCTCTCTCCAATGATAAGGGCATAGAACAAGCAGGAGGAGGAGAACAATTGATGTGCAGGAGACTGGGTTGAGTTTCTAACTGATCTAATTCTTCTGTCTGCCGTGTGCCAAACTGTTGGCATCCCAGATTCCCCTGGAGACAAAGCCAACTCTCTTTTCCTTCTTCTCATCAGCACACCTTTGTCCTCACCTCACCTTCTCTCTCTCACATGTTGTGCTCTGTGCCATAGTAAATAAGGAGTAGAAGTCTGTTTGAATATGATGGCAGTGGTGGATCCTCTGGAGGAGCTGCGGCTGACCAAGCCTTGTTATTTGTATTTGGCTGTTTAATGCAGATGGATGGCACTGGATGAAATAGGATAGATGCATTGGCTAGTGGACATCAAATACAGAGCATGTGTGGCAGGAGGTTTCAGGAGGTGCAGAGCTGCTGATGATAAATAACTGCCTTTATGTGAGTGTGTTTGATGGTGAGGAGCTGCTGACACATTTTATTAATGACCCCAAACTGCAAAAGGAGAATTCATTACAGTGTAGTGCAAACAAAAACCTTAGATCTACCTTTCACCTGCCAGAACTACTTTTCCTAAATGTCGTTATAGCCCAAAAATTATTATCAACATAATCTTGATTAAACACATTGCATCCAAGAGAGCTTTAAAGTATGAGGAAAATATATCTGAATGTCTGTTAATATATACTCACCAGGCAATTCTTTTACCAAACCTTTCTCGCACCTGGTTGAATCTGTTTTTCTTTAATACCCTCTTTATTCTTCATAGCTTAGATTTAACTAGGTGGCAGAAGCATTCCTTAGAGATTTTGAAAATATCTACCAGGAGAATCTTTGTTGGATTAAGTAGTGATGACTATGAAGGCCACTGGAGTATTGAACATTGTTATGTTCAAGAATCAGTCGGAGAGGATTTGAGATTTATATCCAGCATTCAGTTATATTTCAATTAAATTTGATTCATTCTTTTTATATAGTGACAATTCGTAACACATGTCATCTCAAGACACTTTACAGTAGTAATTCTATCAGATTACACAGTTTATATTAAAGGAAAACCGGCTGATTGCATCCCCTCATTAACTTTTGCAGGATTTGCTCCTCCTAAATGAGCATGTGGCAACACTAGATATTTGCTTGCATTTTGTTGTTGATTGACAATACCTTACACCAAGCATCCATGCAGCAACAGTGGAAATGAAACCGCTGGAATAACCAAGCTGATTGGGAATTTTAGGGCTGGCCGACTGATTGTAAAAAATTAAATAGAATTTTCTGTTTATCAAAATTTAATAATTGGAAGATCATTTTTTTCAATAATGCCTTTATTGGGCCTTAGCTCAAGGTGATATCAGTTCATATATTTTTGTTCTTAGATGTGCACTTAGAACAGCTTTCCAAAGCTTGAATGTTATTGCACTTTTAATTAGGGTCACTCCCCAAAGGGGATGATTGTATACTTGCAAACATGATTTCTAATTTTAATCAAAAACAAAAGTAAATAGATAAATTGGATTGATAAGAAAAAAAAAACAAACTTAAATTAGTGTCATCATCTTAGTGCTGATGACTGCTTTGATTACTATCCAACCAGTTCTCATTACTGTTAATCTGATCCACCTGCTTCAGCTTCTACTTAACCAACCTTCAACCAGTCATCAGTGCCAGATTAGTGTTTCCGAGTGTTTCTGATTGCCTGATCCTGATCTTTTCTGTCTATGGACCTTGGAGCCTGCCTGTGCCTATTCTGCTCTGTTTGCTTGACCTGTCTTCTGACTCCTGTTGGTTTTCTACCTGTCTGTGTACAGAACCTGGAACTGTTTCCTGACACCGTCTGGGTTTTCCCTTTGGTTCCTCTTTGGACCTCTGGTCTCCTCGCTCCAAGCACGTATACACCGGCTTTGGCTTCGCCCTCTGCATTATCCTGCCTTCCATTGTCAGCTTATGTCTGATCTCCTGCCTGTTATACAGCCTTCAGGACTTCAGTGTCTAGGACTCTCCGGGCGGTGTCTTGTTGTCGAGTGTTGTTGGCAACCGACAGATTGGAACCTACTCGTCCCCTGGGCATGGACTGAATTTGAAGACCAGAGGTTCCAGCCTTAGACACCAACGCTGTTCTCTGCAGCTACATCTTAAAGAAACATTTTAATAAACCTCACTGTCTTTCGAATACTGGGTAATTTTGTTCTGAGCCTGACAAATTAGAGTTTTAAGTCATAAGCCAAGCACTAGCAAGCATCTGCCGAGGCTGACTGGGGGTCCAACGAGTTAGCCACACTAAAAGCTCACCCCATTAATTTTTCTAGGAGAGAAACAGGACAAAGCACTTAAAATTGGGTCCAACTCATTGACAATCTAAGGTGCTGACTGTGTTGATGGCAGCAGCTTAGTTATTTCCCTCCAGGGTGTTCAGAGAGAGCATAAAGTTAGGTGTTGAACTAACAAATACTGCAAAATTGGAAAGAAAATAAAGTGAAGCATAATGATGAAATGCTGGCCTACAGCAGCATAGCTATAGACATAGCATGATTCACTCTAATTATAACATTTATCAAAATAACAATTTAGAATAGGCATGTCCAAAAATGGTCCTCAAGGGCCGCTGTCCTGCAGGTTTTAGAGTCGTTCTTGCTTCAGGATATTAGATTTCTATTAATAACTAATAGAATCAGCACAGCTGTGGCAGAGATAGATTGTGACTTGTAGGAAAGCAAAACTCGATCAACGACCAACATTGGACATGGCTCGACCAACATTGGACATGGCTGCTTTAGAAGATGGTCATTAATGAACATAAAGGAAAGGATGCAGTCAGCAATTGTAGATAGGTACATAATTAATGCCAGGTTGGTACTAAGAGTTCCACATTTTTGGCAAGAAAGATATACCCCAGGACATGATACCAACACCACCATCTTGAGACCCTGATACTATTTAGTTGGATTGTTGCCTTTATGATGTTTACACAAAGTTATGAGCCTACCATCTAAACACAGGAGTCAAGCTTCAGACCTTGGGAATCTTTGTTCTGAAACCCTAAAATGAGGCGCAGGAACAACCAAACTTCATTACATATTCAACTTCTGTTGCCAGAATCTGTACATGTAGAAGTGCAAAATGGCATGCTAGGTTTGACTCTGGAGTTTGACGCCTCCAATCAACATACTGCAGCTGAAATTTTAATGTCTATATGGATCAACAGTACACAATAATTTTTGAATAAACAACTGCACTAGGTAAAATTTCTTCTACCATTTGTTATTTGTTGTCCAATGTTTGTGAGCCTTTATGAACTGTAACATTGTTTTTTTTTGATGGGTCGGGCACCCGGTGCGGTTTGTTGCTTTGGTGTTTTTTGTTTAGTGGTGGTATTCTTCCAACTTGGTTTTAGTCAGTGGTTACTGAAGACACTCTACAAATTGAAGGACTCTGTCCATTCTCATCTGACATCTGACCCCAATATGTTGTTTTTGTCCTCCTAGCTGTTGCTCACAGAATGTTTTCCCGGTCCATTCTCTGTAAAGCAGAGAGAATAGTTGCTTGTGGAAAACTCAGACCACATCTTTTGGCACCATGTTACAACTCTTAAATAATCTTTTTTCCCCTTTCTGATGCTCAGCCCTTACCTCAAGAAGTTATCTTCATCAGGTGTTTTAAACTGCTAAATATATTCAGTGACTTCTTTTTTAATTGGCTGACATACTGCTTGTGTTGCAAAGCAAATAAAGATTTTTCCCCAAAAGTTTCTGTTACGTGTATGTGATTAGCAGTTTCACTATTTGAAATCTCAAAAGCTTTTAACACTAGAACTCCTACGGAGGGGTCAATTGTCCTTTTTACCTAAAAGCCCTACAAGAGGGTCATTTGTCCCTTTGGACCTCCTGCGGACACTCCTTTTGTTGTGGAAATGTGGCTGTTAGCAGCTCATAGCTGTCACTTGAGTCACAGAGTCGCTTGAGCCTGTGTGGGGAGGCTACACAGGCTCAACTTGGCCAAGGCAAGCTTTTAGTATAGATTTAGTGGATTTTTACGCAGTGAATCATCAGGATCAACGAGAATTGGGGATCAAAACTCTAAACATTTATTGTTAAAAAAATACAAAACAAAACATATTTACAATGAATGCAAAAGCAACTGTTTTCCCAGTTTTCGTGTGGAAGGTTGTGGCATAAGTAACTTATTTTTGTGTGCCAAAAATAGAAGAAAAAGGAATTACAAAGAAAAAAAGCATATTTACAAAGAATGCAAATGAGTGAAATACGTTTGAGCAGTCACTAACAATTCTGGCACTGCCATTGCTCCTTTCAGCATTTCCCACATGTGTATTTGTAACACTTTTCACAGCGCACTTTTGCACGATTGTCCTTGCATTTGATTTTAGCCTGACACTTGGCTCTTTGTCCGAGTTGTGGTGTGGAGGGTTGTTGCCGAAGCAATTGCTCCTTTTGGGCCTTTTTCATACCCATGTGGGAGTGAGCCAACTCTCTTGCCAGTTCAAACAGGAAATCCACCCGTCTTTCCTTTCTCCCGGTGCATAATTGATAGAGCACGTGGGCATTCAGTGCTGCAATGTCTATCATGTTGTAGAACACTGCTACTGGCCAGCGCCTTGTTGCTGCACGGACAGTGTATTCCTGCACCATCTGGTCCATTACATCGACGCCGCACTTTGTTGTGTTGTAGAGTGTGATGGTGTTTGGCTTCTTTTTGGTGGTTTTCTGTGTCTCAATCGTGCTGTGCATGCTGCTGAGATCATACACAGTCTTCTTCCGCTTGGGTGCATACACAGTCAGTGTGGCACCAGTGGATGAAAATACCTGGGTGGTAAATTCATTGCGGTGCATCTGTCGAGTTGACGGTGGGATTTCTTGGCGAATCCTGTTGACTGTGCCGAGGATGGTTGTGTTCCGGCTGAATAGGCGTTTTGCAAGTGACAGTGATGTAAAGAAATTGTCTGTGGTAACATTTCTGCCCTTGTCCAAGAATGGTTCCATCAACCTCATAACTACACTCTCAGACACTCTCTCCCCACGAGGCCGAGTGGGGTCCTTGCCAAGATATGGGAGGATGTTGCAGACGTATTTGGTTTTCAAGTCACATGCCACCCAAAACTTGATACCAAACTTGTCTGGTTTAGTTGCAATGTACTGTAGGAAACAGCAGCGAGTCTTGCACGGGAAAAGTTGTTCGTCAATAGTGATGTCTTGACCAGGAATGTAGGATGTGATGCAGTTGGTGACAAACAATCCCCATATGTTTGAAATTGCAGCAAACCTATCAGTCTGTACTCGCTCGCTGCGGGTGTCTCTGTCATCAAAACGCAGGTGATGCATGATGTTTTGGAAACGGCCTCGGGTCATGGTTTCGATGATGTGTGGGCTTCCCAGGTTTTTCGACCAACAGTCAGGCAGTGATGGCACCTTGAAGATTCCCCTCATGATGGTGATGGAAATAAATGCCATTAGTTCAGGTATGCCCATGAACCAATGCACATGCTCAGTTTGCTTCGCATGTTGAATTGTACAGTCTCGAATGATGCCAAGCATGTCCAGAGTGATGAAACAAAGGAAGCTCTGAAGGCGACTTGTGATTGACCTCCTGGCTTTAGCTGTTGGCTCTCCATCTGCGCTGTATGGCGATGGTGGGGTGAAATGTGGACCCGTTCCCACCTGTTCTTCATGCCATACTGTGCCATCTTTTGCAGTCTCTGTCACATCAGTCGCCAGCCGAGCTCTCTTCGTTGGTTGGGGAGCACTCTCCTCATCTGTAGCGTGAAAAAAATTTAATTATGAGCAATGGGAAATTCAAATGCTATCACAAATGCAAGTATAGAAGCTAATCACAGCAAACATTGTTTATTTTTCTAGTTTCAAGTAATGTAGTAAAAATCACCTTGGAACTAGTATTTTTCAACTAGAAATAAAAACCTCAAATTAGACTATTTTTACTTGTTTTAAGAAATTTGCCGATGGGGCAAGCTTTTTTTTTTTTACTAGGTTAGCAATATTTCCTAGCCAAATTTGCTTGGCAAAATTTGCTAGGCAAACAACATTTGCTTGAAATGAGTAAATCAAGCTAGTAAAAAATCTTAGCTAGCAAAGAAGCTTGCCCCATTGGCAAATGTCTTAAAACATGTCAAAATAGTCTAGTTTTTAGGTTCTTATTTCTAGTAAAAAAAAATACTAGTTCTGAGGTGATTTACTCCCTCACTGAAATGAAATGTAAAATGGGAAATAATATGAAAAGAAATATTACCTGAAGACAACTGAGACAGCTCGGAGTCTGAATCCACCTGGAGATTGATGTCTTCTCCATCCGATTCGCAAGGGTCAGCTCCATTCAGGATCATCTCCAATGCCTGTTGAGTGCTGTATCTCTGCATCTTCGTTCCTTGGAGAGGAGCTTCTTTCACCACAAAATTCTTGAGGGAAATGAAGCAGTAGTCCACATGCACTGGTATTTATCCATCTAACAATTGCCAGGTTGCATTCACATGAGTCGTTATGGTTACATGGCGTGGGAGATTCACACGTTAATTCAACCATTATCTGGTTGCAGTCATATGACTCGTCATGTTCACATGGGAGATTCACACGTCCAAAATGGAGAGAGTGATGTGGACATAGAGTTTGAAGACACTTATGCGAGTGATGAGGAGTCAGATAACAATGCCTGTGTGGACAAAGAAAACCAGGAACCCACTGACTGCACAGCCAGGACATTGGACATTGAGCCCCAATCAAATTAACACATCAAGCCCCGTGACAGATATCGCTGGCAAAAAAAGGATTTCATCAGTCCCAATACTGATTTTTCTGCTCCAGCTCTCACAGATGATGCAACTGTCCTCCACACACCGCTGCAGTACTTTGAAAAGTTTGTCTCAGAAGACATGATTCAAGCTCTGGCAACCCATACAAATGAGTACAGCGTTCAAAGTAATGGAAGATCTGTGAACGCCACAATCAAGGAAATACAGAAAATGTTGGGCATGTACCTGAGGTTGGGCTTGGTCCAAATGGCTGGAACCCGTATGTATTGGGAGGCAGATACGCGGAACTCCCCAGTTGCTGATGTGATGCCCCACAACAGATTCCAATCACTTTTGACAATATTACATTTTATGAACAATTCAACAGTGTCAGAGACTGAAAAGAGGGACAAGAGGGACTCTGGAAAAATTCAGACAATGGCTTGAGCTTTCAATCACTGCACTATGGAACTATTGATTACACTATGGAAATACTGACTTGAATTATGTCTCATTTCTTTTACTTCTATATCTCTATATTATATCATAAATGTATCTGTCAACACTCTTTCCTGGTCATGTTAATCTTGTCTGCCTCAACTGACCTAGGATGTTTTTTTGCACATTTTTTTGCAACTCATAGAATGTTCTTTGCACAATTATCTTTATTACTCTTACTTGTACATAACCATTTGCAAGGATGTACTAAATGATTGAGACATATACAAAAGCATTTGAAATTTGATGAAAGTTTTGATAAATGCCATTCTGTTGTGAGGAACTGCAAATTAGTTTTGGGATTTGTCCATGTTTTGAGAATGACATCTCAATTTCAAGAAATGAGCCAAACCAAGGGAGAAAAACTGTACTGTAACACACTGGGGAGAAGCTGTCTGTCCCTGTTTGTCTTGGCTGTTACCACTGTGAGGTGTGACCCCCTCACCCCTCACCCCACACACGGCCCATAACAGCCTCATTACCATGACAAAATGAGTGATTAGTGTATTCGGGAAAAGCCGCCGGGACAATTGACCCCTCCCTGGAAGTTCTAGGTAGGCGGAAAAATCCTGGTATTTCTAGTGTTAAAGCAATTTATTAATCAATAAGATTTATTAGTGATGTGATTAGTGATTTTAGTTATGGAACTTATTGAAGCCCCCCCGACAAATAACATCATTTGATTTTTTTCTGATTGGATGACCAGACCCAACAGAACTCTCCTCTCCAAGAAGTGTAGGCTGCTTAAACAAAATACACTTGCATTATGAATCAAAACTCATTGAGAAGGTATACATATTTTGGCTCTAGTCTATTTTGGGGAATTCAGAAAGAATATATATGTAGCTATTCCTTCAATGTACGCAACAGTTAAAGCTGAAGTACAAAGAACTTTGACCGCACAAGATGGTGCACTGTGTTGCACTCAATGCAGAGATAAACTGTGCTGCAGAAGAACAAGCCATTGAACATATTAGGTTTCAGAGCACATCGAAATATATGCGCCTTTCTGAAAGGGCCATTAGACTTCTGATCAACTTGTAAAAAATTTGGTTGCTTTAAATGTGAACGTGTTAATTGCATGCAACATCATATTTATCCATTTTAGTGTAAAGTTTCGGCAATATATCTTTGTTTTTTTCACATCAGGGTTGTGTGCTCCTCGCTGTACCTTTCCAAACTTAGTCAATTGAGATTTAAAGGTGAGGAACCACAAAGACATCTAAGGGTATATTTACATGGTAGGCAAATGCAACCCAAGTCAAATTTTTTTTCCACATATGTGACTCATATATGACTTTTTCATAGCTGTATAATGGCCCAATTCTGGTCTTCAATAACTTATAGTTTTAAAGCTTCACATCGTATTTCATGTGACTGGTATGTCATGGCCAAGTCTACTACTACATATCTACAGAGAAAGCTGCAGCATCCCTGATGCTTTGTAAACTGCTATTAACATGGAATAATCTAGATTGAATTCTACAAATATCCATCTGAAAAAGCTCCTGTAGAAAATGTTCAAAAAAGGCAGGGACAGTCAGTACAACTGTTCCATCTGGTTGGGTAAATCAAGTGCCCATATGCCCCCCATGCTGATCTTTTAGCCAATCACGGCAGCATTAGCAGCTGTGACCTAACACAGGCTTGATTTGTTTCACATTTCTGGGAGTTACGTCATAACTGCTTCTCTGGATTTTTTGTTTCTGTTCAGGTTTTCAATTGGGGTTTTCATTTTTCTTTGATTTAGTCATTCTGTGTTGCTGTTAAGTTTTTTTTATCATTTTACTTCTTAGTTTACTCTTCCTCTGTGTTTATTTTAGTTCTCTTTTCAGCATTCCTTTAATTAAAACTGTGCTATAGTTCTGCTTATATATAGTTTTCTGTTTTCTTTAAATTGTGTTTTCCCATTGCAGATTAGTTATCTAAATTTCTCCAATCCCCCATCCTGTAGTTTTCCCTTTTGCTCATTCTATGTTTCTTATTCACTAGTTTCTTTCCCTTTTGTGTTATATTAGTTCTTTCAAGCCCTATTGCATTTCCCTGGTTACTCTTTGATGCCCTCTAGTGCCCCTTCTTTCCCCTTAGCTGTCTTCTAGATGCTTCTGTTCACACATGCTCCCAATTAGATGAATAATCGATTAATTGTTCTGTCTGCCATATATACTCCTCCTCTGCAGTTCCTTTGCTGGATTCTCTTTAGTCTTAATGTATGTTCGTCATGAGGGTCCCCTACTCTTTTGTTCCTGAGTTCTCTACTTGTTATTTCTGGGTTTATGCTTCTGTTACCCTCTACTTTGTTATTAAATCTGCAAGAAATCATCTCTGCCTTCCATCTCTTCATTTGGGTCCTCAACAGGTCCTCAGCATTCTGGGATATATCTGCCTCCTCTGAGGCTTTTCTTTCGTCTCATACACTTCGTACACACTTTTTCTCTTATGACCCTTGGCCATTTTCAAAGAACCGCAGTGAGAAAGGTGAGCTTCAATGACTGTCTGAAACCGTAGCTCACCTTCCTGAAAATGTGCATGTGCATAAAAGATAGCTAACAGAACAAGCACCTAAGATGCCCTTATGTGAACGTGTCACCAGAATGATAGGCAATTGGGAGGACCACTTATTTGGATGATCCATCCCGAAATAAAAGATTGCCCTCTTTACCTTTAATTTCCACACTGGGATAGTGCTTAATTTATCACAGTCTTAGAAAACCCAGAATACACATAATTTTATATTGATTGCAGTTTAAGTGTAGGGTTATTCAAAACTGTTATTATTTCACAAGTGTACAGACTGTAGACTGAGGGAGGGGGCACAAGGGTTCTTCTTTTCTTTTTAATAGTAACCTTTAGTTTAATCAATATTTTCCTGTTATTGCTAATGCAAACTAAACTCCATGGTGGTGCAATTAACAGGGGGATGTAGGTCAGTCTGTACAAATTTAAAAACTAATATTCCTGAACCCTTAAATAATTTTGCGTTGTGTATAAGGATTAGGTAGCTAGCATTATATGGTATTTGCATCACGTCATACACTTTTATCCCTCAGTAAACAACTCCAATGCGCTCTCGATTTATCCAGCAGCCTCTGTTAGGCTTCTGTTTCTCTCTCTCTCTCTCTCTCTCTCTCTCTCTTGTTTGTCACTTAAAGTCTGACAAAGAGGATAGAGAATCTGCAGTGAAACATGGACAGGAGAACAGGAAGGAGTTCAGACAGTGATGCTTTTCTGTAATAATTTTTTATTTGTAATAAAGAATAAAACAAAACAGGGAACCGATACAGTATTTTTAGGGGGAAAAAAAACATGAAAATAAGCATTATAACCTGTATAATACAATTTTTATATATACATATATATATATATATATATATATATATATATATATATATATATATATATATATATATATATATATATATATATATATATATATATATATATATATATATATATATATATATATATTTAATGAGCCTGATAAAAATATGCAAGACTTTATAATTAATATTCAAACATTTCTTTTATGTTTAATTTGTCTTCAACCTGAAAGACTTCATGTATTTTTAAATTTAGCAACAATAATATTATCCTACAATACCCATATAATTAGGCTCAAATAAAGAAGGGTTGTTAAAAATCAACAGTTTTTGTAAAAAGAACAAAAGTACATGAAAGCGCATGTTTTTTACACTTTTTAAAATGTTATCTAATGTAAAACAAAAACAAATTTTTTGTTAGAAAGAACAGTTTTTAAACATTCTCAGAATAACTCTACTGAATTTATGGTAGAAATTTTAAACAATCTCTAGTTACAAAATGAGTTATTACAAAAAAGGAGCACTCTTTAAAAGCTATTCAGGCAATTCTACTCTACTGTACATGCCAATAACTACAGTCATCCCTGTTTTTCTTTGACAATATTCCAATAAACCATTGCTCCCAGCCTGAGGTGAGTTCCAATATAAAAGGATCACTAGGAATTCTCACTCAGCTGTTAAATTCAAACATTACAGAGAGCATCAGGCTTTGTGATATTCATTGATATGGTCTGATGTATTTATAGGCCCAACTCATGCATTATACATGCGTTCTTTGAGTCCTTATAAATCTTTACATAGCAGAGAGATAGAAGAGTTATGGCAGACATGAAGTCCAAAGCTGTGATCTTCAGGATCAGTGTTAAGCGAAATCTAATAAAGACCAACTTGAAAATGTTTAATAAGATTGTTTTAGGGGGGAAATAAATGCTTGATTGATCACTAACAGAAAATGATTTAACTTTATGATTTATCATTCATTGCTGGTTACTCATTATTTAGTTTACACGTGTGGCTTTATTTTCCGAAATCTGTGAAAATCCAGAGAACTTCATTTTTCAAAAAAGAGAAAATTAAGGGGAAACTGAGACATTTTCCCTTTGTTGATCTTCCACCAGGGGTCACTGTGGTGCAGGCAGATTGATCTCACCTAACCCCCCTTGTGAGCAGATCAATGAGTCCCGAGTCTCTGCTGTAACTCCCCCTGCATGCCCTTTATATGCATCTCCTGAGTGTCACGCTGCCTGTTTGTAGGAGAGTTCAGGGACAACTGTGTGTTTTTATGCACGCACATGCATGATTCTGTCTTCTTACAGCACTGGGGATACTTTGCAAGATGAAAATATGAAGCTCTTGTCTGAGGTTTGGATTATTTAATCATGGACATAAATTTCAAAATGTTTCTTGGGATTTTAATGATTGTTTAGGCTGCTATTACAACAAAATAACATCAGCTTTAAAAACAACAATGGGGTGCACAAGTGTAAATTTATTTATAAGGCCAGAGTTATACATACATGTATTCACCTAAGCCATGAATAAATGGTGCTGAAGGATCTGGAGCATCTTTTCACCTGACAAGGCCGAGTCTTGTTCATTTATTATTGATCCTGATTTATTGCAGCTGGTACTTTCTATTTGTCAGCATAAAAAGGTATGTTTGAAAGCCTTCTGTGGGCTGAGTAGTACTTAAAAATAAGGAGAAAGGCCAATGAGCTCATTGAACATCTGTGAAGCTGAGTTAGAGATCTACACATTGTGGGAAAGTCTTTGGAGCCATTAAGTAACCAGTGAACAGGGCCGGTTCTTGTAGGAAAAAACTCAGGGCAAGCCCCTCCCTCTGAAACATAGTCAGCTATGATTTATGGGTATAATCTGTTATTTTCTGCACAGGACATGATTGACTAAACAAAACAAGAATGAGTAT